TTCTTGTTCTGCATGGTATAAGTGGTAAGAGTAGATTTGATCAGCCGTTTTTGAGAAATCTGGATTTATAAAAAAGGAGTCCTTTAAATTTTACAATAAAAATGGGAGCAGCTTTAAATATTTTACCCCACAAACCCCTCCCAACCAAATATTTTAAAAATACATTATTAAAAAAAATATTTATGAGAAACTAAATTTTTTCCGCAATATTATAAATTGGTAAATATTGCTTTTTTGTTGTTCTACTTAAAAAAAAATACAACTTTATTACTAATTTTTTTTTAAATAAAAATTAATGAATTTCTAATCAAAATGATTAAAATATAACTAAATATTAAAGTAAAATGTAAATTATTTTGTATTTTGTTGGGAGACATTTTACTCAATTTACTGAAATTTGGTCGCTGCTTGGGCGATTCTCTTCTCAACATACTGGTCCGAGCTGCGATAGGAGACGAAGTAAGGAAAAAATAAAAGTATAACTAAAATACAATAATTATAAATCAAAAAGGGAATGAGCACAATTTAGTGTCATCTTTATTCGTTGGTTATCTAAAACTTTGACTTCAATGAATTCATAGCAAAGTTTTGAAATGTTTTTCTTGAAATGATACAAGACAAATTCAAATTTACCGCTAAAATGATATCTAGTTACTTTTTTAGTTATTTTTCCCTGTGTAAATAGAACTTTTCAATTCGCTCCTCTTAGTTTAAAAACAGAGTATAGATGTGGAAATATTGACAGCAGATCCTGTTCTTCTCTAGTTTTAAAGCGTCAGTAAAAATTTGTAAGCATCATCGAATTTTCAGAGGATATTGCTGAGACTTGTTTTGATAAATTGAGTATTCGTTGAGTAAGCGAGGTAAGAATACGGAATTTTTTATTTGCCAAGGAGGTGTAAACTTAGAGTAATTTGGTAGGCATTTAGGAATAGAATAGTTGATTTGTTCTTGATAGTTTCTTTTATTCTGGCATAGAAAGGTTTGGAGGTTCTAGGGTGTTCCGACAATAGAGCGTGAAATCTCTGGGAAAAACAGTTATCAACGGTAGGATTTGCAGGAGAGGCCCTAATCTTTGTTGCATATGCGAGGCTTAAATTTAGTCTTCTGTTATCCAAGGAAGGTTCACCGACATCGCAGTATATGCTTTCAACTGGGGTTTTACGAAATGCTATTGTAATTATTAGATGTGTTGTATTGTGGATAGTGTTCAGAGGCGCAAGTTTTGGACGTAGATGTATAAATGATCGAACCGTAGTCCAATCTTAAGCGTAACTTCACTCAAACTTCAAATGGAGTTTTTTAATTATTTCAGAGTTGAACCAGTCAGGATAATGATTTTTCGGTAGTATCTTTAAAGAAACGTTTTTGTCGAAGATATTATACAGTCTCTCGTAAAACATTTTAATTATTTCATCCACACTGCCGAACTGATATAGGTGGGTCCAATCAATTGTAAGTAGATCTTGAAATAAACTGGGAAAATAAGCTTTTTTTAAAATTATATTCTTTAGAACATGATGGAGATAATGTCTTTAGAGTAGTCTTAATGGAAATATCAACAGAAAGGACAGGGTTTTGTGAATCTAGTCGCACGAGTTCAGATGTTTCAGAGACAATGCATGCATCAATGTCTGAAAGAACGAGGTCAAGGATTCTGTTATTACATTAAAGTATTGAATTATGTTAAGACATTAAAAAAGTTTAGGAAATTCATTAAACAAGATATTTTTCTATATGGATCTCTTATTATGCCTGCTCTAAAATCGATATATCTATTTAAAGTGAAATCGCCAACAATTATAACATTTTGGTCGTAAACTAAGTATATAGATATGAAAATATCGACAAAAAGATCATATTTATTAACAGACATGAGCGAAGAAAAGTAGATGCAGAAAACATAAACATTTGCTTTACCCAATTTCAGTTTTATAGGTGTTACATCAATAGATATAAGAAGTTCAAAAATATGTTCGGTCTCAAAGATACTGGACGAATATTGTTTTTTACAGCAATTAAGCTACCTCCACCTAGTGTTGCAAACATTTTATGGAATTTTCTATCAGTTCTGTAAACATTGTAAAGGTTTGGATCAAAATAGTTCCTAGTCCTTGATTGAGTCGTTTAGCCAGGTCTTAGTGCGCGTAATAATGTCATATTGAGAGGAAGTTGATGAATTAAGATAAAGATCTCGAGTCTTCGTACGAGTGCCACGAACATTCTGATAGAAAGGAGAAAAGTTATGTTATGTTATGTTATGTTATGTTATGTTATGTTATGTTATGTTATGTTATGTTATGTTATGTTGTTATGTTATGTTATGTTATGTTATGTTATGTTATGTTATGTTATGTTATGTTATGTTATGTTATGTTATGTTATGTTATGTTATGTTATGTTATGTTATGTTATGTTATGTTATGTTATGTTATGTTATGTTATGTTATGTTATGTTATGTTATGTTATGTTATGTTATGTTATGTTATGTTATGTTATGTTATGTTATGTTATGTTATGTTATGTTATGTTATGTTATGTTATGTTATGTTATGTTATGTTATGTTATGTTATGTTTATGTTATGTTATGTTATGTTATGTTATGTTATGTTATGTTATGTTATGTTATGTTATGTTATGTTATGTTACGTTACGTTACGTTACGTTACGTTACGTTACGTTACGTTACGTTACGTTACGTTACGTTACGTTACGTTATGTTATGTTATGTTATGTTATGTTATGTTATGTTATGTTATGTTATGTTATGTTATGTTATGTTATGTTATGTTATGTTATGTTATGTTATGTTATGTTATGTTATGTTATGTTATGTTATGTTATGTTATGTTATGTTATGTTATGTTATGTTATGTTATGTTATGTTATGTTATGTTATGTTATGTTATGTTAATGTTAATGTTAATGTTAATGTTAATGTTAATGTTAATGTTAATGTTAATGTTAATGTTAATGTTAATGTTAATGTTAATGTTAATGTTAATGTTAATGTTAATGTTAATGTTAATGTTAATGTTAATGTTAATGTTAATGTTAATGTTAATGTTATGTTAATGTTAATGTTAATGTTTATGTTTATGTTATGTTATGTTATGTTATGTTATGTTATGTTATGTTATGTTATGTTATGTTATGTTATGTTATGTTTATGTTATGTTATGTTATGTTATGTTATGTTATGTTATGTTATGTTATGTTATGTTATGTTATGTTATGTTATGTTATGTTATGTTATGTTATGTTATGTTATGTTATGTTATGTTATGTTATGTTATGTTATGTTATGTTATGTTATGTTATGTTATGTTATGTTATGTTATGTTATGTTATGTTATGTTATGTTATGTTATGTTATGTTATGTTATGTTATGTTATGTTATGTTATGTTATGTTATGTTATGTTATGTTATGTTATGTTATGTTATGTTATGTTATGTTATGTTATGTTATGTTATGTTATGTTATGTTATGTTATGTTATGTTATGTTATGTTATGTTATGTTATGTTATGTTATGTTATGTTATGTTATGTTATGTTATGTTATGTTTATGTTATGTTATGTTATGTTATGTTATGTTATGTTATGTTATGTTATGTTATGTTATGTTATGTTATGTTATGTTATGTTATGTTATGTTATGTTATGTTATGTTATGTTATGTTATGTTATGTTATGTTATGTTATGTTATGTTATGTTATGTTATGTTATGTTATGTTATGTTATGTTATGTTATGTTATGTTATGTTATGTTATGTTATGTTATGTTATGTTATGTTATGTTATGTTATGTTTATGTTATGTTATGTTATGTTATGTTATGTTATGTTATGTTATGTTATGTTATGTTATGTTATGTTATGTTATGTTATGTTATGTTATGTTATGTTATGTTATGTTATGTTATGTTATGTTATGTTATGTTATGTTATGTTATGTTATGTTATGTTATGTTATGTTATGTTATGTTATGTTATGTTATGTTATGTTATGTTATGTTATGTTATGTTATGTTATGTTATGTTATGTTATGTTATGTTATGTTATGTTATGTTATGTTATGTTATGTTATGTTATGTTTATGTTATGTTATGTTATGTTATGTTATGTTATGTTATGTTATGTTATGTTATGTTATGTTATGTTATGTTATGTTATGTTATGTTATGTTATGTTATGTTATGTTATGTTATGTTATGTTATGTTATGTTATGTTATGTTATGTTATGTTATGTTATGTTATGTTATGTTATGTTATGTTATGTTATGTTATGTTATGTTATGTTATGTTATGTTATGTTATGTTATGTTATGTTATGTTATGTTATGTTATGTTATGTTATGTTATGTTATGTTATGTTATGTTATGTTATGTTATGTTATGTTATGTTATGTTATGTTATGTTATGTTATGTTATGTTATGTTATGTTATGTTATGTTATGTTATGTTATGTTATGTTATGTTATGTTATGTTATGTTATGTTATGTTATGTTATGTTATGTTATGTTATGTTATGTTATGTTATGTTATGTTATGTTATGTTATGTTATGTTATGTTATGTTATGTTAAGAATGGGGAGTTAATACACTGCGATCTAAAAGATCTATTGTGCTCCCTTCTGTCGCCAATGTACTAAGGAATTGTGTCAATGCCTATAACGACTCTTCCAATTCTATTTTCTCAAGGAAGTAGAAGAGAAAAGTTAGATATAGTACATTTAGTTTCATTATTAATAGTTGAAACAGGATGTGCTCGATCAGGTTGCTACTTGGGAGACAGAATATTGGATTTAAATTCATTCAGAGTTTTTTATATACATGACACTCATTATATTACAAAACATAATGATTTACGGGATCAGATTATCGGCAGTTTTGTTAAATTTATGGCAATTAATGCAATACTTATTGCTGAGTTTATGGCATTCACTGAGTTTATGATTTTGAGCACATAGACAAATATAAACAGATGAATTACAATGTTTCTCTAGGTGATGAAAACGACAGCACTTGAAGCACCGCCTCAATGGCGTTAAAAACATTACAATAATCGCAGCCAACAAATAGTTTACCTAGTGAGTTAACCTTTTGATAACTATTAATATATGACTGTATTATGACTTGGAAAAGTTTGTTATTCTTTTTCAAAGGTAATTGGGAGATTACTTTTAAATTACTATCTGGACATATTTCATTTTTGTTCTGGTTTTTAATAACATTTATAAAATCATTTTCAGAAAGATTTTCAGAGATACCAACGATCTTGAAGCGAGAATTCAGTACAGGAACTTCTTTGATTGTGTAGTCATTGGCCAGCTTCTCATCTGCGAACTTTTTAAATTTGATACATTCATCAGAGTTTTCGCATCTAACAATTATACCACCATCTCGAACGTTAAATACTTTAGTGATGTTGATGTTAGATGATACAGGGTTTATATTTTGAATTATAGCAGTTTTCGTGACTGGTGTAGCTTGTTTTGCCTTAGGCATAATTACATAAGAAAGTTGCTTAGCAACTGCTTTCGAGTATGATACCTTTATTACTAAGATCCGATGTTTTAGAGTTTGAAGAATTGAAAAGTCGTCGAGTCTAAGCAAAATCTTCTCGTGAATATATTTTTTTAAATATCGACAATTTCATTTTTGGAGCTAGAGAGCTCATCTAACTTTTCCTGGATGGTTTTTTGAACTACATTACAAATGTCAGATAAACGTTCGTCAATTGATTTCAAACTATTATTGTGGTCAGACAGGGATTCTTCTTAAACAATGCTGCATTTACGTCTACAGAGTTCACATAGAAAATATAAATTTTTACTTTTTGAAAGCATCGAAAACTCAACATTAGTTTGACCAACACAAGAGTAGTGGAACCATTTTGAGCAGACACCTTCGCATCCAACATAGCCATCAGATTTAGTAAGCTTACATTTACTGCACTTATAATCATCTCCCATCGTTAAGTGGTATATGCCATTGATATTAAAAATAGTCACAACTTTATTTATTAACACAAATGTTATCTTGGTTGAATAAATAAGATATAATTCCAAAAAAGATGTAAACTTTAAACTCATTGACAACTCGAAAAAAAAATTAAATATCTACGTTAGTCGAATAAATGCAGTTTTTCTTGCACGTTTCACGTCGCAATGTTGCACTTTAAAACAAATTATTATGGTCAAAATACCAACAAAATGAACTGTCATGCACAGAGAACCACGTTAACAATAATTCCAATTTACATTCCACTAACAACTGATGACAGTTAACAGTGTAATTATTTGAAACCTAACTTTCCTTCATAAATATCGTTTGCTACATTTGGATAAAAAAATAGCAGAATTGATTTTTTGTAAACTAAAATTTTATGTTTGAGATGCAGTTTTCTTTAAATTTGTCAATTACAAAATATTTACAAAACAATCCTTTGGATTCTGATGAAAAAGCTATTTGATACGCCCCTGGAGATCACAGCTATCAAAAGTTCGTAGATTCTGGCTTCAAACTAAGACTATATTAAACAGTGCCCGTAACTTATCTATACTTCATTTGTTTATCAGAACAGAAGGCGCTGCTATTTAAAATAAATGAATCACATCATAGACAGAGGAGAAAATAATAGAAAAAAAGTCTGGTATCTGGCTTCAAACAAATCTAAATCGTTACGTATCTATGTATATCTGTGAATAAACAATAAAATCAAGGGAGTCATTAAAAAGAATAGTACAAAAATTATTGATCGCTATAATGTACTATACCCAATTCTCAAATGTATGCCATTTTTAATGCACTTTAGACTTGCTGCCCTTGATCCTGCTTTGATCCGAGGATGAAATTCACAAGTGCATAACTGTCTATCTCTAATCAACTACCCCACTAAGTTGGAGGGTAAAAGTTTCACCCTTGTCAATCGCCCTTAGGATAAAGAAGCCACCCTAACCCTCATTGGCGCAGGATAAGAGTTAGATCAAACCAAGTGAAATATTTGTTAGTGATTATAGTTTTAATTCATTCAAAAAATAAGTCGATTATTGAAAAAAGAACAGACTACTTGTAGGCAAAAGTACAGAAAGGGCACCTTTGCATTGTAAGTTAACCCTCGCCTTACCAAAAATGGGGCAACGATGACATGAAATCAAAGTTCGCGACTAATTTCACAATAATCACACAGTATTTATCAAAAAATTTAGGTAAACAAGGCCAAGTAGACGGCGTCTCAAAGGCTTTCAATAAAATCAGTCATTTTATCATGTTAAATAACATGCTAGAATTTGGATTTAACTATTATGTACAGTTCCTTAATTGAAAATAAAAAAATAATACAGCAATTGTGCGCTGATCAGTCTTAAAAGGGATTAAAATAAAAGTAGCATATTGTTTATGGCGGCACAGGTACATTTTTTAATGAAATCAAACCTTTTAAGGCTCTTTAAAATCACAGATTTTGTTTGGGGCATCCCATAAAATTTTGATTTATTACTCTGTGTCGATTGCGATTTTATTATAGTGTTAGAAGATAAAAGAATTAAGTTTAAAATTACCGTTTTAAAATGATTTATCACCCTGTATACTATAACACCCTGTATAGCTATTTCATAAAACGCGTGTTAACATGGTTTTATGTTTTATTAAATATCTCGTAAAAAATGTTTGAAATGTAATTAATTAAGGAACAAAATAAAGAATGTTTTTAACGGCATATTGCCTATCACTTCATAGCGTTCGGCTTGTCGAAAGTCAAGTCCCTGCTCTCTCCTGGGGCCCAATTCTCGAAACATGCGTTAACTGCCGCATGCGCTAAGTAACGCATGGTCGTTAACGCATACGACAGCAATTTAGTATTCCTGAACACCATGCGATAATCGCGAATCAAGTCGAACGTGTTAACGAAGAGTCTTTGATTATTGCATAGTCTTAACCAATGAGGATTGAGAATACCAAAGATGGTATCACTGAATATGAGATAATTGCATTGACACATGTCAAAATTGTCAAAAATTATAAAATTAAATGGATTGGATGTCTAATAATTTTTGGTTTTTAGACGTTTTAACTGTGATTATTTGTATTTTGGACTTGAGAATTGGAGTGGTTTAGATTTAGAATATTAAAAATGGAACAGCGTGGTTCACGAATAACGGAAAAATTGCGTGAAACTTTAGTAGAATTTATAACATTGTTTAGTGCCTGTAAAACTCATATTTCTTTTATATCATCCATACTAAATAAAATAAACCAAAATAAAGTGGCACCTAAACGTGCAATAAAAGAGTTCACGGTACAAAAAGTTTCATTTTTATATTCTAATAAAATGTTCAATAGAGTCAAATTAAAAATAAATATTTCCCAATAATAAATCACAAAACAAAACCAATAGATAGAAACACGAATCACATATGATAAAGCAGGATTAATTGACAATTATAACCTTACTTTCACCTAAACGAATGCGACAAAGTAGTTGTGGAACGGTCATGAGCGTTCTTTGAAAATCATCATTTCTTAGCGCATACGTTAATAAATTTGACGAATGCCGCCAGTTCAGGAATACACTTTCATCAAGTCGCATACGTTATCGCATGCGATAAGTTAACGAAGGCGTCAGGAATTGGGCCCCTGGTCCTGGACACTGCAACGGGCCAGGGGCCCAATTCCTGAAACTATGCGTTGAACGCCGCATTCGACTAGCGACGCATGGTCGCCACCGCATGCGACGCAAAATCTGTATTCTTGACTACCCTTCGTTAGGATAGTTTTGTGTCGCATGATGTAACGAAGAGTCTTTAATTATTGCAGTAGTTCAATCGTTTTAAACCAATAAAATTTCAGAACGTCATAACAAAACTGCATTATCGACTGAAAAATGTCAAAAAAAAAATTCTTTTGCGAGTGTCATTGTGTAATCTCTTTTATTATTAAACTAAATTCTTTGAAAAATTTGAGTAGTGTTTTGATAATGGAGATTGAAAATGAAAAGAAAAGCTTCAAAATTAGCGAGCAACAGAGAACAGCTTTAATAAATTTTATGAAAGATCACCCGAATTTAGTTAGTGGCAAATTTACAAATCATTTCACTGCTACAACAGCTAAAAATTTATGGAAAGAATGTGAAACCACACTAAATAGCATAATAGGGGGGAAAAAAGATTGGAAGCAGTGGAGGAAAGTAAGTATTTTTATATTTTTATCTATAATTTAACGATATATTGATTTTATTAACATTGTAGTGCTGGCATGATATCAAATCAAAAACAAAGTCTAAACATGCCAGATTAAGAACTCACCAAGGTGGAACTGGTGGCGGTCCCGCTACACCAGAAATATTATCTAATTGGGAAGAGAATATAATAGATATAATGTGCCCAACTGCTAGTACAGGGGACCCAGGAACTTTAGAGTCATCCATTGTTTTTGTAAGTATTTTATACAAATCACTAGTAAGAAGGTGATTAAGAGGATTATTATTTTTAATATTATTTATTATTGTTGTTAAGATAGAAAATACATGTTTCTTAAATTGTGATTTTTTATTTTCATGTAGGATCTTCCTCTTTTACAACATAATACTCCTGAGATATTAGAAAACAGTAATGCTCAAATGCAGGAAGTTTCTCAATATGAACTAGAAATTGAAACGAATATAACTAATCCTGTACAGATAGAGAATAGAACACTAAACAATATAAAAGGTAATATTGTAGAAAATACACTCTTAAGCTATTATTTATTTCAACAGTAATATTGAGCAATTAAAAGGCAACTAAAATTCGTCAATTTTAGTATCTTCTTGATTTAGATTAGTTTATAAATTTGTATAATTTTTTTTAGAAAAAAAAGTTACTCGGAAACCACAACTTTCTCAATCAGTGGAAGCCACGAAAAATTTAACAGTCACGTCCAAAGAAAGAAACGAAATATTTAAAGAGTATTCACAAGAAAAATTAAATATTTTAAAGGAGACCAATAATTTAAGAAGAAGGAAATTGGAGGCTTTAGAAGAGCAAACTTCTTTAAAGAAAAAAAAAACTGGAGGCAACAAAAGAGCAGAACAAAATACTGCAAAATATAGCAACTTTGCTAAAAAATATTCTCGAAAAATAATAATGCATATATTAATAGTTGTGTGTTAAATTTTTGTTTATTTTTTAGTTTTAAAATTATTTTGTTTTTTATTTATTAGGTTTAATTTAGTTATATTGTTGTTAGTTGTTCCTGTAATTACATTAAAAGCAAAATACAATACATAGTAATATTAATTTATTTAAACAAAGTAGTTTTCAATTATTTTAATTATTCATACGCCTTCCAATTTTTAATCTCTAAAATGTCCATTTATCACCAATGTTTGTTTCCTTCTTCCTGCTTCCAGATCTGGATTAATTCTTCTTTGGTTTCTAATACGTTGTCCTGGCTGTTCGTCAATAAAATTGTCGATACCAAAATCCACATTTTCCAGTTCCTCATCTAAATCTGGTTCTCGAATATTA